AACTTCTATACAACGAAAGGAGACTGCGACCACACAAAAGGCCACACCATCTTGGTCTTCATATCTTACGTGACTTAGTTCTTATTCAAGAATAGCGAATAGATTCGAAGCTTATTCATTCTTTAATATAACCATCCAAATTAATTTTAGTAAATTGTTGTCAGGCCCTAGACACAAACTAAGAAAGTATTTTATATTTATGTGCGTAACTTTCGTTTGAGTAGTGTTGGCTTGATCGTTTTCGTAACTTGGTCGGATCAACAGAGAGACCTTGTGGAATGTACCCAGTCCTGCTTTCTCTGCCATACTATATTCATGCTGATTTCCGGCATTGGACTGTTGATTTAGTACATTCTCAGACGTTTTGCCTACATCGTCAATGAGAGGTGCCATTGATAGCACAGAGTTATAACTTATCACGTCGTGAATGTTTCAAAAATAGGAAGATGATGACTCTAACTTCCTTTACATTTTATATCTGATGACCAATATTCCAGTGGTCTCAATTCATTTAAATAAATAGAACTATTCGATTATAACATTATTATTATTAAGAATTAATGCTATTAACTGTTGGAATGGATGAGAATACCTTTTGGGAAAGCAAGGCTATGTGAAATGCAACGGACACATAAGGTATATTTATATTGTGGGATAATTTAACTACCAGTCTTTCATTACCTTTAATGAAATAGGGGAAGCATAACTCGTAGATCTGATTTACTGATAATTTAGAAAACCTACTCAGAGCGAAATATATTCAAAATGTTCCTGTCTTAACATTAATATCTTTCATATCTAACTATTTTAATGTATTTTTTATTCTTTTTATCTATGCATATTAGATACGGTCTACTCTATCGCTTGGAGTAGGTATTCATATCTCTTAAAGTTACTGATTTGACTCACCTCATTTTGACATCTTGAAAAAATGGCATCTATTTGGTTTAACATTTATCACTTTTTTCTTAGATCTTTCTTTTTAATTTTTGTCTAAGTTAAGTTACTTATTATAATTACTAGTACACATACTTAATAATGCTATTTCTGTAGTGGATTTGCTGATAAGTTCTTTGTCAGTAATGATTCTTTCTTATTAACTTTTTTAGCTCGGCCCAAATGTCAGCATCGGGCGCAGAGCAGTAATTTGCAGTGGAGTTCGCCTTCGCGATTGCATTGTTCTTCGTGACGCTGAGATCCGTTCGCACGCTTGTTGTATAAGTTCTGTTATCGGATGGAACGTTGTCGTTGGCGAATGGGCCAGAGTGGAGGGAACTCCAAACGATCCAAATCCCAATAAGCCATTTACAAAGCTTGATGTTTTGCCAGTATTTAACTCAAAGGGTCAACTTAACCCTTCTATCACTGTGATTGGTAGGTCTTGCAATAATTATTTTTACAGAAAATCTCATGCATAATTTAAGTAGCTATTCTATTTATGTATATCTACATTATTTAGGCTAATTTCTTCAAGGTGTCTCACCTTGTTTTCACAACTCGGTCCGGGTGAAGTACGAACTACTTAGCATACCTAGCCCTGCTTTCTCAGCTACAAGAGTCATGCTAATTTCCAGTATTGGACTATCGACTTGTTACATTTTTAGAGGCTTTCCCATCATCTACCTAAGCGCCATCCTTAGCATCGAGTCGCGAAGACTTTAGTAATTTACCACTTTAACAGTCTGATACTATAAATTATCATAACTATTATTACAGAGGACCTAAGGCAGTATTGTTCATAAGATATCTGTCCTCCTGGCCTGGTTGTGAAAACTACCTAATACATTTACCATTACTAAACCTAAGGCCAAACCTTCTTAACATATTTCATTCACTCAGAAATTCTAAATCACTGTTTGGAAGGACTCTAACCATTTGTCTTTGTACAAATATTATCACTAATTTGTGTAAAAACCTCAATCTCAATTGACTTCCTTGGGATTAATTAAGCTTACCCTTATTTCTATTCTTTTAAATTGTTTAAACTTGTCAATTCAAACACTTGAGTTGCTTCCTAATCTAAATTCCATATTTCTTAAAATCATCTTGCTTTCCTCCAGAAATACTCAACTTATAGGGAATATTGTTCCTCTATGCATATTTAACTTGAACTAATGATAGATTTAAATTTTAAATTTATTATTTTTGTATCTGGGTTTTTTTGTTTTATTGGTTGGACTTTCATTTCGGATGAAAGTGTATGAAGAAGAGATTCGAAGGTCGATCTCACCAAAATAGGATGGTTGAATCCCATCATACTTCAGCTGTTTGGCTTTTATACGACGTTGAGATTGATGCAGTCCACGAGACTTTCCTCTTTTCGAGTGAAAACGGGCTGAGATTTCGTCCATCACCTGAAAAGAGAGAAGAGGTCTCGTGGACTGCGTCAATCTCAACTTCGTATAAAAGCCAAACGGCTATAGTACAATGGGACTAAACCGTCCTCTTGTGGTGAGATCGACTTTCGAATCTCTTTCGTACACTTTCATACGAAATGAAAGTACAACCGATTATTTTATCTCAGGAGATTTATCGAAACCCAGTTACGCTTCATATTTTTGTATTTGCATTTTTTCGGTATTTTTAAAAATTTCAAATATTTGTTTTGTAGGATCAAATGTTGAAGTTCCTGCAGAAGTTATTATCCTTAATTCTATCGTATTGCCGCACAAGGGATTGACCCACAGTTTCAAGAATCAGATCATTCTTTGATAGCCAGTGTGCCTAGACTCAACATCTTGATGCTTCAACTAACGACTTTCTTACTTTATTGTCTCAACTGCCTTTTAATTTTTAAATCTTTACTTACAACTCTTAATATATTTATCCTCTTGAATAAAACATTTCTCCGATGAATTCGCCACATTTTATTTTTGCCCATAGCTCTTTCAGGAGCCGATCATATTGAAAAGTTACTTTAAATTATTTGTTATTTTGTTTTGCTATTATTATGTATTTTCTTTAGTCCTATTTGGTAAGGATAGCAGGGAAGAAATATTGATACAACTCATAAGTCTTACCAAGCGTTTGCCTGAAAAGGCTAAGAGTGCTATCGGGTTACAGTTTGTCCCTTTGATTGATAACCACCTAGAGGCATATGGTCTCCCCAAGATGCACAAGGAAGAACACCATTTGTTAATTATTGTCAATAAGGATAGCGTGATGTATAAAATATCACGATCTTTCTGTCAAAAAATTAAGCAAATCTCCAAGGCAGGGCAATTTTAGATAAGGAATTCTTATTCACTTAGCTAGCTGGTAAGCAAATGATGTGGGGATTTCTTTGTTAATTTTGGTGTAGAGTCGATGTGAACCAGCATCCCTGCAAGCGGAGTTATACAGGCTCTAGAATTAACAGTGGATCAATGCCCGGATGTTTATGAAGTACAAATTTAGGTAAAGTCAATTTTGACGAATTTCGTGATGAGCTGTACGTATTCTACTTATCCTGGTAGTTTGTAAGCATATACACGGCTTAGCTATGATATAGCGTGTCTTCAATTATAGGTTAATACAAAAAGCACATTTAGTTGCTAAATTATTATTTATGTATATGGATAACTACTTTGCCGCATAGCAACATGATACATATAGCCTATGAGTATTCCTAAGGTTAACAAATAGAATTAACGGGAAGACCAAGTCCACCATTAAATTACAAAATGATGGTACTCTACCTTTAAGATGCCATAGTTGGCATAATGTAAACGTATATAGGAGGCCCATAAATATGGGGGTTTCTTCGAAATTTCTTTCTAAACCACACTTATGGGGTTAAAGAAGGGATTATGAAATAAATAATAATAAGAGGACTGCATCTTGCAGCTTTTAATCATCAGGGCCATGAACTGAGAGAATTAAGAGAAATTTCATCAGCTAAAGTTTACCTATTCTGATTAATTGATGAATAACTTAAAATATTAGATAATAGGATGGAGGGAAGCATCAAGCTGAGGTAAGATATGCAGATTGACCATTATAATAAGGTACTAATGTTAACGTGACGTCAACTCTCAGAGATAGGGGAATTATAAAGGAAGTGGGACATCAGGGCAATGTCTAAGAATAAAATAACACTTCCTCAGTAATGCCATCTTTTCGGTATGTTTCTGACCATAAGTATACTCTACAAGTTCTCTGTTGTTGCGATCAAGTGGCGAAAACGACGCCAAACCAAGTCTAATCGGCTGAAGGAGACTGCGAGCAAACCTAAGATCACACCATCTTGGTGTTCGTAATATTTGATTAAGCCTATATGGTTCACTACCACTCCTCTTTATCGGCCAGTAAGCTGGCATTATTTTTAATTCATCTCACCGTAGTCACAAAATGGTGTTGGGAATTTTAAAAGCAATAGTTATTCTGTGTACAAGATAGGCCAATGGAGGCAATTGTGATACTTAGTATCATAGGTTGAAACTAATTTTAATTAAAAATAGCGTCGTCCAAATTACACATGGAGGCGCATAGGCTAATGAAAATAGACCCATGCATGGGCTTCTAAATTGGTTTAACCACTTTATACATTATCAAAAAGCATAGCATGGTATATGTGTAGCATTTGGAGATGCTTAAGTGAGTTTTCCTTATTCGGTAGCTTGGGCATGACTGTTAGAATCATGTCCATCATTTGAAAGACAAAAGTACGCCTAATTTTCACTTGAATATAAGGCGTTTTTATCAAAAACAGCTATTGAGTTTGACTGACAACCCCCCGATTCTAGAGTATTACAGACATTCGAAATTTTTTTATCAGAGAAAAAACTAAATGGCGATTCTCTATCTAGTTATGGGTCCATATGTAATTTTTTGCCTTAATATCTACCTAAAGTTAAAATATTCTATGTCAACCACTTCAGCGTGCTCACCCAGCATATTTTTAATTCACTATAATCAACATGAAGGGCCGCTAGAATCAAAATGACGAATACCAACTGAGATTAAATAATGTAATTCGTCTGAAAAGTATTAGTCCCCAAAAGCCTTATATAATCAGATCAGACCCATACCAAACACCTAGATAATGCTTTTTTACAACTATTTCTACTAGTAAAATGCGATCCCCTATAAGCGACTTTGATAAAATCACACCATTAATTATATGCTTTTTTAAATATTGCTCTGGTGGCTATGGTAGTAAGACAAGTTATCAATCCTTTGTAATTTGGAATAGATCAATTAATGTAAAGATAAATTGGTGAAACTTTCAACCGCATAAAATACCAACATTTATCTTCATACTGCACTTAGCGCATCTATGCTATCGAAAGGCAGTTGATGCGATTTCATTTGGCCACATACTTTATAACACAAACCCGTATCTATCTACCATATTGTACTTCCAAAGAAAAGTCAATTCTTTAAGTGGGTATCCTCAGACCAAACTTAGCTTATCACATAGCCAATTGCCATGCACTTAAGACAGAGGATGATAAATGTCTGATCAGCGCTTTTTACCAAGATTGGGTCCCCGACTATTTCCCATTATACGCATATAGCATACTCTTTTAAATCGTCCTCAACATCGATTTCCCTTTTTCACAAACAGTCTTTAAAAGCAGCCACGAAATCTTTTACATTAATATAATAAATCTATTGTAGGTGACTAGGAATTTTAAGCTAATTCAGACACTCATTAATTCTCATTTTTCTGATAATAGAATAGTATATAAATTTGAAGATAGCGCTGCTTAGAAGAGCAATGTATTCGATTCCTTATATGTGTTCTGTGACCTGTATACGGATAAACGTGTAGCAGTGATAATTTAGTTATAAGTTATCTACGATAAACTAAATTTTAATCTA